CGAACATAAATAAAAGAATATATAACCCAACCCAATCCGGGAGTTGGATTATATTTTCAAGAAAATTCGGATAAAATGCATTGATACATGAAATACATGTCTAAATTATGTCAATAGTTTGAATTTATGGGCTTAGCTTAAGGAAGGGAGAGAAACAAATTGTACAATCCATTTCAAGGGAGGAATATCATCTTATGCTTCGAGACCATGTTTCAAATGAAAATATTGCTAGTGATGATGTGGAGACAAGCAAAGAGAGTGCCAAGTTTATGTTGTTCCACGTCCATTAGAGACAAAAAAGTGAAAGAAAGTGAAAGAAAGTGAAAAAGAGAGCGTGAGAAGGAAATATTTGACATGTATACTTAGATTAAGGAGAAAGAGGGTTCCATTCCTGGAGTTTGTGAGGAGAACCATGTTTGTATGCAAAACGACCTACACAAATCAATCAAGTGTACCTACTTTTTCTCTTGAATTCTTGTAATAAATTAAAATATTTATTGAAAAGCAAGTTTCAATGATTGATTCCATGATTGATTCCAATATGAGCTAACGTAAATTCATGGGAAGAACAAGACCATTGGATTACGCAAGAAACAACATTCCCATTTCACTTCTACATTCATTTACGGCCCAAAGACAAACGTGAAGATAACCACGAGAAGCAAATGACTTTAAGTTTGCATAACAACGAGAATAATATGAAATAAAGTGTTTTAATCATGCCACAAAAATTTTACGATGAATGACAACATTGTACCATACATGTTTGAATTTGTGGAGATGTCATTGTACTTTTCAATTTTAAAGGTTTTTAAGTTACAATTTAGCATTATTATGATATTGATAGACATGAGAGTTTCAACCTTTCAAATGACCATAGATTACTTAACATTTATTTTCAAGGTTATAAATAATCATTCATGTTTTTGCTTTGAATAAAGATCTTGGATATTAAAATATTAAAATAAAAGTTACATATTATGCTTCCTAAGCCACAAATTTGTTCCTTTACATTTCAGTTTTGCATGCTAGAGTCATTCGAGTAGTCTTGATCAAATTAGTTTTGCATGCTAGAGTCATTCAAGTAGTCTTGATCATATTATTTCGTGGAGCGATTCGAATCTTGAGTTTGGAAACAAGTTTTTCTTACTTTTAATATTGCTCATCAAGATAAATTCAAATTTTTAATTTTCTTAGGATTGATTCCTTATCGTTTATTGAGTTCTTGAATATTTTAGATCTAAAGGATTTGTTTTTCAACAAGGATGTTAAATCAAATTCCAAAAAATATATATCATCTAGTTTTTCGACTTTGTTTTGATTTCGATAAATTAACAGATTTGTATTGTTTTGGAGGGAAGATTAGGAGAGGTACAACCCTAATTTTGATTTGCTCATTATTTTAGAGGTGGAAGAGACTATTGGAGGATAAACTCAAGTTCATGAAACTAGAAAAAAAGAAACAGAAGATCAACACGCAACACTAATTCTTAAATTTCGTTCCCTTTAATCATCTAATTTTTGTTATGGGGTCGTTTTTTTAGTTTATATAGAGATTGATGTCACCATTATACCTTAGGATTCGATCAATTCAATGTTTTGACTGATAATCTTTTTTCTATTCATGTTTTTATGTGCTTAATACTTGTTGCTACCAAAAGTTAAATAGTGTCGATGTTGATTTCATGATATGGTAATAGAGAGTTACTTGTCCTTATAAAAGTCATTTATGATACACGTAACAACCGTACAAAAAAAAAATAAAAAAAAGAGAGAGAAAAAAATTTAAAAGGATAACCGATTTTCCCACTTCTCCATTAACTCTCGTAACTTCTTCCTTAAAATACCCTTCATCTAACCAATATTTATGGGAGTTTCGTTTTCTTTTATCTTGTTTTGTTCCTTCATTGCAATTATTTAAATTTTAGTTACAAAATTAAATACCAAGAATCACTTACATGTTTTATGAAATTGCAATCATGATCCATAATCATTTTTAGGAAAGAGAAAAAAAAGAATCTATCAAAATTGGTCAAGTGAAACAAAATTAAAAAAAAAAAAAAAAAAAAAAAAAAAAAAAAAAAAAAAAAAAAAAAAAAAAAAAAAAAAAAAAAAAAAAAAA